CGCTGAGGTAGGACCGGGCCTCAGCCTGCTGGTCCGTCTGCAAAAGACAAAGAGAAACTCAAGAGAGCAGAAGGGGCAGTCCCATTCTCTTTGTTCCTGACTTCTGTGAGGAAGTGTCCTTGGGTTCCCCTGAAGAACAATTCTAAACTTGGCACACCTTCTGGTTCCCCACCAGCACCAGAACCCAGTGCTGAGAACAAGAGGAGACAGATCATGCTTGTGCACCAGAAGCCAGGTGGGGAACTACCCTACCTGTCCACCCCAGAGACCTTGGTTAAGTCACTCAGCACTTTTCAGGGATAAGATGAAACCAAGGATGAGAAAGGACTTTGCAAACTGTCAGCCCCATTTCAGCATGATTTTCCAGTTTTCCCCCCATTAGGTATTTTCGATATTTTCATAGTTGCTCAATAAACATCCTCAATTAAAGAAATAATGCAGCACAGTTATTGAGCACCCTGCTGAGTGTCAAATCACCAAGAAAAGATGAACACATCATTTCTCCCAACACAATGTGCAAAGACGGAGATTTTAAATTTCCTCACAGTTCAGTCATTGGAGTAAATACCTCCTATGCTAGGCAGAAGGTGAGAAGGGCTTAGCATGAAAATAAGATTTCTATAGGGGTTTCCTGGTCCCATCCAAGGGTTTTCCACTGCAACTAGTGTTGAGGAAGCTGTAAGGTGTCCCAGGAGTTCAGCCAACTGGCTCCAGCCCCCCCACCTTGTCCTATGCCAGGAGGACAAGCTATTTTTAGTCAGGCATGGGGAACAGCAGCTGGCCTCTGGGGTCTAGTTACTCCTTGAAGTCAAGCGGGGAGGAGAATATCAGAGAAAAATGACAGCCCCCCAATCAGGATCTCTCTGGGAGGCTGAGGTCTCTCTGTGTGGTCTGTCACCTTCAGACCCTTCCCATCATCCTCAGGACTCTTGGACCCCTGCACCCAAGCCAGCTGCAAGCTCTGCAGGTCTCCCATCTTCCAGAGAATCCTTTCTTCCCTTGCTGACATAGGAGGGTTGGCAGGGCTCAGAAAGTCAGTCTACCCTTGCCACTGACTTGCTGGGTGAGTCACTCTGGCCCTCAGGGTTCCTGTCTCTACCACAAAGGAGAGGAACTAAAAGCCCCTCATGGTCTTAGCTGGCCATGAAATTGCTGGAAGTCTCAGAAGGTGGGCAGAGAACCCTCAACCCTTGAGGATCAATCTCTGGAACATCCCAGGCCTCCACATCCAGCAGAAGTCAAAGGTTTTCGCACCAAGGATTTCTCCAAGACCCCTGGGTCCCAGAACCTTCATGTTCCACCTTCAAAGTCTCAAGTTTTGTCCCACAGAGCATGCAGATCACTTGAAAGAAGCCCAGAAATGCTTCAGCAAGCAAGATTGAAGACCCTTCTCATCCTTACCATGGTTGCTGGTCGCTTGGACTCCTCTCCCGTGAATCGCCTCCTCTGCACTCCACCACCCAAAGATGCCCTGGCCCACCCCAACCCCAGGATTTGTAGGGGCACCCTCTCCTCCCACCTCCCTGCGCCCCAGTATTGGATACCCTACCCAATCAGATCCTGGGGTCAGCAAGCCCCACCCCTCCCAGCATCCTGGCCCATTACCTAATTTAGCCAAGGGCCCTTGCAGAGAAATTTAAGCCTCTGAGCAGGTGGCAGGCCTTGATATCCTAGATTCTTATGAGAAGGGCCCATCCTGCTTCACCGCCTTAGAGAGCACCGCCCCTCTCTCTGCCCTGCCAGGAGGCAGACTTGCTCCAAGACCTGTAAGCACTGTCAGAACACAGACAAGTGCAGCAGCAGCCTGGAAAGGGAAGAGCACAGACTTGAAATCCAAAATTCAAGATCTTGTCTTACCTTGGCAAGGTGTGTGAACTTGGGCAGGTAGTGATGGTGCTGAGCTTTCTTGCTTCATCCATGAGGTGAAAATAGTCATAACCTCCCCGGCAGAGGGACCTTGATAAACATGCACCCAGCTAGGGCCTGGGATTTAGCTCAGCAACATAAGCACCTGTCTGGCAAGCACAAGGTCATGAGTTCAATCCCCGGTACCAAAGAAAAGAAAACCATGCACCCAGATGTGTCATCTAGCTTGGGCCAGGTTCACAGGGTCGGTGCTTGGCAAGTGGAATATCCTGTCTCTAAACCATGATAAGGGGATGGGGGACAGAAGAGGGGGTGTTAACTGGGCCACATTGTTTATTGAACTTCTACAATATGCCACACTTTGATAAGCATTTCCAACACCTGATCTCACCCAGTACACATCCTATGAGATGGCAACTATTATTATCCCCCATTTGACTGGAGGGTTTCGAAAATCATAAAGGTCTATAGTTACACGGGCAGTTAACTGTCTCTCTCTCTCTGTGATACTGGGAATTGAACCCAGGGCCTCAAGCAAACAACTCCATCACTGAGTTACTTCCCAAGCATTTAAAAACTTTTTTTTTTTGAGACAGCTTCTCACTATGGTTCCCAGATTGGTCTCCTGGACTCCTGCCTCAGTGGGATTACAGACAGGTGACATCACACCCAGCTTATGGCACTTTGAGTAATCGGGGACACTGAGACAGTCCAGGGGGAGGGCATCCAGGAGAGGCACACAGTGGGATGAGGAGGTACATTTGGAGAAGTCTCCCACTAATTCTGCAGTGCTGGGGATTGAACCTACAGCCTTGCACATACTAGGCAAGTGTTCTATTGGTAACTACATTACCCAGCCTTTTTTTCTTTTCTAAAACAGAGTCTCACTCTTTAATCTAGGCTGGCCTTGAACTCACTTTGTGAACTCTTAGCAATCTGGACTACAGACATGCACCACCACACGGAGGGAAGGAGTCTTTGTAAACACTGAAAACAAAGATTCTTTTTTCAAATTATTTTTCTCTAGGGAAAGTGTGTTTCATATTTAGTTTAGGGGGAGGGAGGAACAGAAGAAGGTTGTCTACATGCTAAAGCGCAGCAGGCCCCTTCCTAGAACTCAGCGAGGAAATCTAAAGAGTTCCATGGGTCCTCTGGAGGGGCCAGTCAGATCTAGTCCCAAAGGGAGCAAAAGGATCAAATTTCTTAGTATGGCTGAGCAAGATCCCGACTGCCCTCCAGTCTCATCCTGAGAATCCACAGGGCCCAGGCTGGGCAGTGGGAATAGAGGAGCCTCATGGACATTGGCTAAGCCAACAAAAAACACTAAGCCAACCCAGAGCAGGGTCTGAGGCCAGGAAAGTGGGGCTGGACACTACGGAAGGCAGACAGGCAGTAGCAACTGGGCTGCCCCTTTCCCCTATATATAGACATTCCAAGGAAGGCTCAGTAGAGCCAGGTCAGGCTAAATAAGGCCACCCCAAGCTCCCCAGGAAGCAGGCCCCAGGTGCTACTCAGAGGAGTCTAACTTGGACAAAACAACACTGGGACTACAGTATGTGGTCCCTTTGAAACAGAAGGCATAGACCCCTGGCAATCACTGTTTATTGATTTGTTTTTTGTTTATTCAGCACAACAGATAGGGATCAAATTCTTTTGGGTGGCCAGGCACGGTCCCAACTTCCCCTCCAATGTCACTTCCCATCTCCTCCCTCACCTTGTTTGCTGCTTGGTTCTGATCAGACTTCGGTATTTAAATACTGCTCCAAGCACCTCTCTTTATGAACCACCCCCAACCCGCCTTTGCATTTACTGTTTTTTTTCTGCCAGAAACACTTATCTTCCCTTTCTTTACCTGCTTTCCTTGCCTGTGATCTTTCTTGGCTTTCACATCACTTCCTCTGGGATATCTCCTCCCCTACACACAGGCTAGGGTCCAAGGTGGTCTCCGGAATTTTCTCAATAATGGCATTAAGCATGCCTTGTTATTACAATCATGAGCTCCATGGGCCAAAAATAGTTTCTCGTTCAGCATTGAAATTTCCAGCAACCAGCTCTTTTCTATCCTTTTCCCCCCACTCCTACCTCCTAGAACTGGGGGAACCAACCTAAGGCCTTTCCCTTACCTATGCTAGGTAAGCCTTCCTACGGTTGTTTGTTTGAGACAGGGTCTCACTATGAATTCAGGCTGGCCTTGAACTCACTACATAACCCAAATTGGCCTCAAATTTGCAGTGATCCTCCTGCCTCCACCGTTCAAGTGCTAGAATTACAGATGTGAGTCACCACTACAATAAAAAAAATTTAAAAGGCTGGTGCTATATCTCAGTGAGAAGATCCTGGGTTCAATTATCTGCGAAAACAAAATATAAACCACAGCGCTCCAGAGATGCTGCAGAGATTTACCAGGCTTGATAGTAAGCACAATTTAAGGGACTTGGACTACCAGGTCCCATGCTTAGAAATCTCAAGCAAGTAGCTTTTGACCCAGGACAAGTAACTCAGACTCTCTGGGTCTCAGTTTCCCTGTTGGATTACTTGTGATGTGAGTGCCTCAAATAAAACTGTAAAATCCTGTAAACATAACAGAGACAATAATCATTATGTAAGGGGCCATTTCCTCAGCCCCTGCCTCAGGCACGGCACTAGGGCTGACCCAGGCTGAGAATTACTTGGGAAGCAGCTCAGCTGTAGAGCTTTTGCTTAGCATACCCGAGCCCTAGATTCTGTATTCAGTGAACGTGCATACACACTCACACACACACACACACACACACACACACACACACACGCTGCAAATTTGAGTGTTACTGCTTCTGTTTTACATGAGAAAACCTAGGCTCAGTAACAGTCTCTTGGCTTCAACTTTCTCACCAGAGAAACGGGTTCCCTTCTGTTGCGCAATTACACTGTCAAGTTAAAGATGGAAATTAAGGGGCTAAATGGGGCTGTCCGAGGAGGCCGGATCGCGGACGATTCCGCGGGAGGGGAGCCCTGGGGGCTCGCTCAGGCCAACCCAGGATTCCCGGTCCCTGTTGGAACCAAAGGCCGGGCGTTCTTGGGCGGTCCCGGAGAGCGGGAGGGGCCGGAGGCGGGGCGGCGGCAGGAAACGGCCGGAGCTGCGCTGCGAGCGGCCTGAGCTGGCGGTTTCGGTGAGCCGCGGAGGTCGCTTCGCGAGCCCGTGGGAACGACACGCCCACGGACGCCGGAGGCGGCGGCACGTGCGGGGGACACAGAGAGCTGAGTGGGGCCAGCGGCGGCGCGGTTCCCGGGCATCAGGGTCGCGCTGCTCGCCGCACGCCCGGCTGCCAGAGGGCGGGGTCTCCCCTGCGCCCCTCCTTCCCGGCCTGGACCCCGCCCGTGCTCCCCGCGGCCAGCGGGGTCCTCCTCCCGCCGCGGCCTGGGACTAGCGACGCCGCTGCCCCGGGGTGCCATGGCTTCGCGGCTCCTGCACAGGCTGCGGCACGCCCTGGCCAGCGATAGCCCGGGAGAGGCGGCGACAGGCCCCGAGGCCGAGCAGTTCCCCGAAAGCTCCGAGCTGGAGGACGACGACGCCGAGGGCCTGTCCTCCCGTCTCAGCGGCACCCTCAGCTTCACCAGTGCTGAGGACGAGGAGGACGACGACGACGAGGAGGACGAGGACGAGGCCCACCCCGACTCGCTGCCTCCTGGCGACGGGACATCGGGAGAAGACGCAGGCGAGTGCGGGAGGACGGAGACGGGAACGTTGGGGTTCGGCTAGGCCTGTATCCCAGCCGTGTTCCAGGAGCATCTTGGATGCCCAGAGTTGGTCCGGCTGAAACTCCTGGCACTTTTTTAAACGCCTCCAGCCACGTCTTGGCTGTGTGACCTTAAGAGTCACAACACCCCTCTGAGCCAAGTTTTCCCTTGTGTCAAATGGGAGAAATTACTTCCATCTCCGGATTTTTGCTGGTATGAGTGCACTGGACCTGGGATACAAATATGTGCTAATGACGTGCTGGCAGTGTTTTGGGAGTGGAGATACTTAGTGCCTCCCATCTCCCAGATAGTGTGTTTGGCACCAATTTCTAGCCCTCAGTTCTCATTTCTGTAAAATGGGGATAAAGCCTACCTCCGATGATTGAGGTCATGGCACATGATTTATGCTGACCCAGACTCTAGGTTCCTTGATATGACCTGCCATGTGCTTGTGCAGAACGGAGTCCCCTACCTGACGGGCAGCGGGGTAGTCAACTCCTGGCCAGGCAGCTTCAGGATTTCTGGAAGAAGTCTCGAAACACCCTGGTACCCCAGCGGCTGCTCTTTGAGGTGACCAGCGCCAGTGTTGTAAAGGACCCACCCTCCAAGTACGTGGTGAGTGAGGTCCCCAAAGCCCCCAGGGCTGTGAATCTAGAAGTCTGGATAAGAGAAAATAGGCTGTCCTGCTTTTTAGACTTAAGAGAACTGCTGGGCTGGGGATGCAGCTCAGTGCAAGGCCTGCCGGGCAAGCTCCAGGCCATGAGTTCAATTATCAGTATGAGAGAGAGAGAGAGAACTGGTATGTGTTCCCCTTTCCCAGTTGCATGGCTTAGTAGCTACAGAAATGTGCACTGAATGCACATCAGCCTTGATTCACATACCACTTAAGTTGTTTGACCTTAGGTGAGTTATGTAATTTTGATGACCTCCAGTTTCCACAACTGAGCAATGAGGATCGTGCAGAAGATCAGAGCAAGAGTTAAATGAAATGGTGCCGAGTCCTTGGCATTGTGCTTGGCATTATGAAGTGATCAACTGGGCCGGGAATGTAGCTCAGTGGTAGAGCTCTTGCATACTGTGTGAGAGTCCCTGGGTTCAATCTCCAAAACCACAAACAAAATGGTAGCTATAATGGTAGAAAACTGGAACTTGATAATATTGATATGCTATAAATGGGAAATGTCACACCTGACTTCATGTGATTGGTGGGTGTCAAAATGTAGTTTAGAGATAGGCTTGGGTTCAACCCTCAACACCAAACACATGCGTGCGTGTGCATACACACACACAAATTATATTCAGATTGTATGTACAAAGTACATCTGGAACTTTGGTCCCATCCCCAAGATGTCTCATTGTCTATGTACATGAAGATTCCAAAATCCTAAATCTGAAACATTTCTGGTGCCAAACATTCTCGATAAGGGATGCTCAAGCTTTATTATTTTTATTTAACTTTTATTTGAAAATATCAAGCATGCCACAGTGTGCTGTATTACTGACAGCTCTATGTGGTTTGCCATCACTGATCTAGATACTGCTGTGACCTCCCTGTAACCTAGGGGAATCAGTTCTCTGGCACTGTCTGCCTGTACAGAACAACCCTGCTCTGTGAAGAACAGTATAGGGGAGGGCCTTGCAATCCCTATTTCTCTTGCAATGGAGGGGAGAGACTGTCAGGGAGAATGAAGCCTGCCAGGTCCTGCTCCCTTCTGTTGGCCTGAAAGCCAACTGAGCTGGCCTGTCCCAGCAAGTGTTGTTGCTTCTCACCCCTTCTCTTCATCACCTTCCTCCACCTCTGACTCAGCAGGAAGGGCGCCTGGAGCCTTGTCCCACATTTGAGCCCCTCCACCCTCCTCTATTGCTGTAACAAGGCCCACACCCATGCAGTGACTGCTCCAATTTGATGCTAATGATCCAGTTTTGGGGGGGTTTTGTTTTTGTTTTTGTTTTGATGCTGGAGATTGAACCCAGGTCTCCATGTATAAGTGTCCATTCCACCCTGAGCTACATGCCCAGCTCCAGATGAGCCATTCTTGAATGGCAAATGTCCCAGAGCTCTGGGGCAGGTAGAGTCATGCACAGGAAAGGGACCCAAGGGATCAGATCACCAAGGAGCAACTCCAGAGGAAGAAGGAATGGAGGTGACTGGGGACCCAGATGGGAAGGGAATGACAACAACGAACAGGATGGCGTACTGTGCCCTGCCTATGTCTAGAGAAGCAAATTGCCTTCGCTTATGATGGGAACCCTGAGTCTCCACATGATTCTCTCTCTCTCTTTTTTTTTTTTTTTGTACGGAGGATTGAACTCATGACCTCACACTTGCCAGGGAGGCACCAAACCCCAGCCTTTTTTTTTTTTTTTTTCGTTTTTATCGGTACCAGGGATCAAACTCACGACTGCCTGCTTTCAATGCAGGTGCTTATGCCGCTGAACTAAATCCCCAGGCCCCCAGCCATTTTTTTTTTTTTTTTTTTTTTTTTTTTTTTTTTGAGACAGGGTCTTGCTGTGCAGTTCAGACTTGGTCCTGAGCTCACTCTGTAGCGAGGCTGACCTCAAACCTGCAGCAATCCTCCTGCCTTATTCTCCCAAGTGCTGGGATTACAGGCCGGCTTGTCTATATGATTCTCTTGAGAGTGAAGAGCGCAAATTTTGGAATCAGATTGACCTGGGTTTGCATCCCAGCTAGGCCATTTACCAGTATGTGATTTCAGGCAAGTCTTTGACTCCTTTACCCTCCTTTGAGCCTGCTTCCTCAGCTGACAAACAGAGATAAGGACTCCTTGCAGTGCTTTTCTGCTGATTAAACGGAATGATAGCAGGAAAAGTACTGGGTACAGACAGGGCACCTGGTGAGAGCTCAGCTGACGAAACTACTATTGTTATCACCTGTCTTGAGGGACATTACAAGGATCAGATGAAATAATTGATGTGAAGTGATCTTTGCTAAAAAATAAAAGCCAGCTGGGCATGGTGGTACATACATGCAATCCCAGCTATGGGGAGGTTGAAGCAGGAAGATTGCCATGAGTTGGAGGCCAGCCAGGGCTGCATAGTGAGTTCAAGGTCAGACCGAACTACCTAGGGAGACCCTGCTCAAAAAATAAAATGTACACTGTGACTCTTTAAGAGAAGGATGAAGTGGGCACCCCTAGGCAAGTGCAGTGGCACATACGTATAATCTCAGCATTTTGGTAAAGTGAGGTTCAGATCCAGCCTGGACAATTTAGTGAGCTAGAAGACCCCGTTTCAAAATTAAAAAAAAAAAAAAGAAGAAGAAGAGCTGGGGATGTAGCTCTGTGTGAGTTTCAAAGCCTAGTACTGAAGAAAAAAGGAAAATAGGCAAACCTAACTGACCAGGGACGGCTAGAATATTGGCAGTTCCACAGAATAGAGAGAAAAATCTAGGTTTGGTGTTTGTGTCCCTTTAACATTTAATACCCGCTAACTACCCTTTTAAACCTGTTAGCTCAACAGAATCAGGCAGGATTAATCCATACTCAGTTCTCCAGCCTGGACAGAAGCTTAGTAGTCATATTGTTCAGTCACTGTCCACCTAAAATGCTATCAGTACCATTCTTAACATTTTTCATGAACTACTATTACTATTTGTAATAGTAGTTTCTGCTTATTGACACAGGGTCTCACTCTACAGTTCAGGCTGGCCTTGAACTCACGACAGTTCTCCTGCCTCAGCCTCCTGAGTGCTGGGATTGCAGGCATGTTCCACCACACCTGGCTGAACCCCTTCTTTCCTTTTTTTCTTTTCTTTTCTTTTTTTTTTTTCCTTTTTGGTGGTACCAGGGATCAAACTCACAACCTCATGCTTGCCAGGCAGGTGCTTATGTCACTGGGCTAAATCCCCACAGGTGCTTATGTCACTGGGCTAAATCCCCGACCCAGAACCCTTTTTTTCTAAAATAAGTTTAAAGCCAACTTTATAGCCAGGTATGGTAGTGCATATCTGTAACCCCATAACTTGGGACACTAAAACTAGAGGATCACCATTGAGTTCAGAGCCAGCCTGGGCTTCACAGTACTACTGTATGTGGAAAACCTCACTTGCCATACAGAGAAGCTGACCATAAAAGTAAAGGCAGTAAAAATGAAATAATGTCATTTAATATTGCATAGATGCTGTGGCCTCAAGAAGGTCCTGGCCTGAGATTCGCTTATCTTTCTCTAAAAATGGAGATGAAAACTGTGGAGTGTTTTTAAAACCAAATCGAAAGTTTCTCAATTTATAGTAAGATTAAAAAAAGAAGCCAGGGCATTATGTGCCTAGAATTCCAGCACTCAGGAAGCTGAGGCAGGAGAATGGCCACACTTTCAAGGCCAGCCTGAACTACACAGTGATATCCTGCTTCAAAAACAAACCAAAATAGAAACATCAGGTACCAGCACCTGCTAACAGCAGACTGCTTTATTTGAGATCTAGAGATGGAAAAGCTAACCTGGGATCAACTTGAGTCCTGGACAGTAAATTCAGATTGACCGTTTACTGGGGCTCTCCAAAGACCTGTCTTCACATCTGGTTTGGAATGGCCGTGCCAGCTTGTGGTGTGGCTGTGTCCAGGATGGAAACAGCTCCAGTCTGCTTCCCAAGTTAGCTCAGAGGCCCCAGAGATTGGTTGGGGTTTCAGCTCACCCCTGGTTTTCCAGAAGGACTAACTGCTCTTTAGGAAGGAAGAACTTCCCAAAAGGGGTGGTAGAGACAGCAGCCTCAGGCACTGAATCTTATCTGTCTTTCTCTCCTGTGCTGCACTGGGCCTGGGTCATTTCAGAGACGCCTCAGGTAAGAGGGGAATGGGCTCCCTAGCCCCTGCCCAGCAGCTCCCCGCCCTTCTTGCCCCAGTCCCCAGGGAGGAGAGCAGAGCTGGGAGTGTGGGGAGGAGGAGGGAAGGAATCCATGGACAACTTCCACCTGCGCTGACACCCACCATCCCTGCAGCTCTACACCCTCGTCGTGATGGGCCCAGGCCCACCAGATCGCCAGCCAGCCCAGATCTCTCGCCGATACTCAGACTTTGAGCGACTGCACCGAAACCTGCAACGGCAGTTCCGAGGCCCCATGGCTGCCATCTCCTTCCCTCGCAAGCGCCTACGCCGGAATTTTACTGCAGAGACCATTGCTCGCCGTAGCCGGGCCTTTGAGCAGTTTTTGGGTCACCTGCAAGCAGTGCCTGAGCTACGCCATGCCCCAGACCTGCAAGACTTCTTTGTGCTGCCAGAGTTGCGGCGGGCACAGAGTCTTACCTGTACTGGCCTCTATCGTGAGGCTCTGGCACTCTGGGCCAATGCCTGGCAGCTGCAAGCCCAGCTAAGGACCTCCTCTGGCCCTGACCGCCCCCTGCTGACCCTGGCTGGACTGGCTGTGTGCCACCAGGAGCTGGAGGACCCTGGGGAGGCCCGAGCTTGCTGTGAAAAGGCCCTGCAGCTGCTGCGAGACAAGAGTCCCCATCGTTTCTTGGCACCGTTTCTAGAGGCTCATGTGCGGCTCTCCTGGCGCCTGGGCCTGGATAAGCGACAATCAGAGGCCCGGCTCCAGGCACTACAGGAGGCAGGCCTTACCCCCACACCACCCCCCAGCCTCAAGGAATTACTCATCAAGGAGGTGCTAGATTAACTTCATTAGTCTTAAGGCCACCATGGGTAGAAGGACTGCCTCAAAATGGGAAGGGGACCTGCCCCCAGATGCTCTACAAAGAGAATTTGTGGAATTTCCTTCTGTTGATCTGGGCTCAGGGTGAGCTGCACAGGGAGGAAATCTGATAGATCCTTTCCAGCTTTTATACAATTAGGGGCTAGAGCCCCCGAGCAGAAGCCATGTTCCCTTTCCAGGGGTGGAAAGCCAGTGACACTGTATGGGTGAAGGGCCAGGGACTGCATCTGTGGTCCTAGAGTTGAGGGATGGAGGGAAGGCTTCAGTTCTGGCCCAGGGAAATTAAAGGCCACCCACTCCAGTGGTATCACAGTCTCTTTATTGGATGTGAAGGCCAAAGGCCCAGCCCCTGACTCTGTTTCCCGCTTCTGGAATGGTGTAGAAGACAGATCCTTGAGACCTCAGGCTAAGCTGGCACTTCTGGCTACAGCTTGCTGTTTGAGACTCTGGGCTTTACTCGGATTACACCTTCCTGGGCACAGGATGCAGCTAACACGCCATCCTGACGCCAGAGTCGCCCGTGGACCAGTCCCCGCGAGCCACCTGTGGGTGAAGAGAAGGGTGAGACCAGCCCTTCTCTGCTGTGTGCGCTGCCTGCAGAGGGTCTGGCCCAGGAGAGGCCTGCTGCACATAAGGACTCAATGAATGCTGTGGTTGCCTTAAGGCTCCACTGTATGAACTTGTGTGGACAGTCTTGGGTTGACTCCCACTTGACTGTTTAAGAGCACTTTCACACACTTGTTCACTTCCTCAGAAGGGGGACAGAGAGGGGCCATGGATTTAGCTCAGTGGCATAACTGCCTGCTTGGCCAGTGTAAGGTTGTGAGTTCGATCTCTGGTACCAAAAAGGAAAAAAAAGGTGATAGAGAGAGGCACTCCGAGAACAGTCCAGTAACCTGGCCAAGCAGACTGCTGCTCCTCTGGCCATGTATATTAGAAATTGCTTAGTTCCTTTTTTAATAAATCAAATCAAGTTCTCCAGGCTGGAAATTCTTGAGAAACAATATCACTTGCACCACAAAGGGGAAGGAAAACCTCAAGAGGAAAAGACTTGACACCATCAGAGCTTGGCCTCCACATGGAGGCTTGTTCCCTTGCTGGCTTTAGGTTTAGAGTTTGACGTTCATTGGAGAGATGCTCATTTCCCTGGTTGTAGCAGAGCTCACAACAGCCAGAGGAATTTGGCTTCACTTGTCCTGTTTTTCACACAATGACACTGAAATCTAAAGAGGCTCAGGAACTTGGCTCCAAGGCTCTGCCTAAACCTGAGTGCAGGTGTCTCCGCTTCAAGGATATTGCGGGCACTTGATGCACTTGATTCTATGGGCACTTGAGAATACCCCTTTCCCGTATAAAGAGCCTCTTCTGTTTTACAAAGCAAAGCTTTTCTTCATTTGAAATGTACTTCCTTGGTAAGAAACCCACGGTTCTGGAACTTATTAATGAATGACTTTAGGTTTCTTCTATGCCCTGCAAGGACTGTCCAAGTAGTAAGGTCCTTAGAGGAGACCACGGAGCGTCCTGATTCTCAACCATGCTAATCAACAGGATCACTTGGGAAGTTTTTGTTTTTTTTTTTTTTTTTTTTTTTTTTTGGTACCTGGGACCAAACTCATGACTTCATAAGCCAGGCAGGTGCTTATGCCACTGAGCTAAATCCCCAGCCCTTGGGAAGTTTTTTAAAACTAGTTTTCTGGGTCTTTTCCAAGACCTACCTAAGTCAGAATCTTGGAGGTAGACATAGAGTCTATTTTGAAAAAGCTCCCTCAAGTGGCAGTATGATAGGTTACCAAGTTTCAGTTTTGCTGCTCTAATACTCTAGAATCTTATTTGTTTAAATGGGAAAATTGCTGAGCATGGTGGTACACATCTGTAATCCGCACGAGGGAGGCTGAGGCAGGAGGACTACCACAAGTTCAAGGTCAGCCTGACATAACAGCAAAAATGGGAAAGTTAGGCTCAGAAGGAAGAATTTTCCCAAGATCACATAAAAAATTACAGATTACAGAAAGTGAGCTGAGCAAGTAATCTGTCTTTAGCCTCACTGTCATTTAGGTTTTTTGGGCTTTTGTTTTTGTTTTTTCTCACTGTCATTTTGAAGATGAGAATGCCAAAGCCTATAGAGGTAAGAAAGGAAGTGACCTGTGCAGTGCCACCCAGGAAGCAGGAAAATGACAGCATCACGCAGGAAAGCAGACTCCCTGCCACCCCGAGTTGGTGCCCTTGTCCCACACAGCCCCACACTTACCAGCCCAGTGGCTCTCAAACTCGTAAAGCATCCACTGGTCAGCGCGGAAGGGGGCATGGAACCACATGGAGTGGTCCAGCGAGGCCATGAAGTGCACCTTATACTTCCACTGATGGGGCAGCAGTGCCGTGCCCAGGAAGGCATAGTCAGAGATATAAGCAGCCACACAGCAGTGCATCTTGATGTCGCCCTCCCCTGCAAAAGGTCCCAGTCCCATCAGCCCTGGGCTCCTGGGTTTCACAGCTCAGGGAGAAAGACTGCCATGCACAGATGTGCAGAGCATCATCTGGCCCAAGGTATGTGTGAAAGGATAAAGGAGATGGAGATGGAGAGAAGCAGGCATGAATGAGGACTAAAATCTTCCAAAATCTCATCCTCACATCTCTCCATAAATCCCAAGCCATGTCCCGCAGTCCTCAGAGGTATCTTCTTCCAATACCATTTTATAATTGCGGGTATAGGCACACAGCGGGTGGCTGCAGACGCGGATGAGAGCCTCAGCAAACTGCCTTACCTTTCCCCGGAAAGGTCCTATGTTGGGATTCAGTCCCCTCCCTGCCATCCCCATGCAAAGGTGTAAGGCACCCCTGGCAAGAAGCCTCGCCAGCTTCCCCATCATGCAGATGAGGAAACAGCCACAAAGAGAGGAAGTAGCACACCCAAGGCCACACAAGGCAAAAGGGTGGCAGGTCTAGATCCTTAGGGAATGTTTTCTCCAGTCCCTGGGTCCTCTTACCAATATAGCCCCGGACCCGCACCCAGAACATCTGTTTGGGCTCCATTCTCTGAAGCTGGCCCAGGGTGAGTGGGCTTACTATCTTGATCTCAATGGGTACCTCCTGGGCAGTAATTCGGTTGAGCCCCACTCGGTACTTCTCTTGGAGGTTAGGGTCTCTGAAAAGTAAAGGGGAGAGGGACAGGAAAAGCTAAGGAGAAGTGCTTTTTATCTCATTGGTGCTGCCTCTTTTGACACCCCTCATTCTTCACAGGGACTCCTGACTAACCTCCCAAGCTTCCTCCCCGCCCCCTATGTGCCAGGCAACACATCCTTGCCATCTGTAACTGCCATCACGTGACTTTGTGCAAGTTAATAATTTCTCTGAGTCTATTTGCCTTTTTGCAAAATGTAGATAATAACAGTCACTCTTATAGAGAGCACTGTGGAAAAGACAAGATAATGCATACAAATCCACACATCATAGTAGTAAAATATGCTCTACAATATGCCCTGTTCCTGGCACTGCATACACAATAATAACTCCTTCCTCACAATAATCTCATGGCATAGGTACTAGTATCACTATTCAATGACTAAAATGTGCTGGCAATCCGAGTAGCTTGTTTAAAGAGTAGAACAGGCAGGATTTGGGCTCAGGCAGTCTATCTCCACAGTTCATACACCAAACCACTTCATTTCTCTAACCATTCCAAGCAGCTGCCCAACTTGAACTGAGTGACCAGTTTCTAAGCAGCAGGGAGCACTGTGTCCCTGGAAGAAGGCACTTGTTTCCAGGGAAGCCCCTTTACCATGGAAACTACCACCCTTAATGCTCTTTGTAGTGGCTGACATTTTCTTTCATGTTGCTGTTTGTTTTTTCTGTGGGTTTTTTGAGGTAGGGTCTCACTATGTAGTACAGGCTGGCCTCAAACTCACAGAAATCCTCTTGCCTCAGCCTCCCAAGTTCTGGGAAAACAGGCATGTGCCACCACACCCAGCAGGGACTGACATTTTTTACCCCATCCGCTGCAAGCGTGTCCAGCAGACCCTTCTGTGATGAATGTGTATCTGCACTGGCCACTGTGGGAGCCACTAGCCACGTGTGACTGTTGGGCACTTGAATTGTGGCTAATGTACATAAAGAAAAGATTTGTCTGTTCTGCTCCATTTAAATTAAGTAGCTAGTGGCTACCTTGCTGAACAGCCGAGCTCTAAATTCAGGATCCTCCAACAATGTGTCACTTTTGTGTTGGCAAACATTTGTTCATTTCCAATTATATACCTGATCCCATGCTTCTTATTCTGTTAATAATGGTACACAGCTGGGCGTGGTAGGGCACATCTGTAATTCCAGCACTTGTGAGGCTGGGGCAGGAGGATTGCCATGAATTCCAGACCAGTGTGGATCACATAGTAAGTTACAGATCAGTCTAGATTATACAGTGAGACCCTATCTCAAAAAATAAAATAAAAATATTCCCTGAGCACCTACTAGATACCTTATACCTCTTTTTTCATTTAATCCTCACAGTCATAATGAGGAATAAGCACCATTTTACAACCAAAGATACGGGCTGAGAGCGGGCAATCAACTTGCCCAAATTCACACAGCTAGTTGAATTCTGGCCGTTCAAGCTGCCAAACCATGTCCATCCCACATACCCTGCTACCTCCCTGGTGTCCTGCAGCATTAGAGGAGCTCTCCCCTGTGGTACAACTGAAAAGCAAGCAGGAAAAATGAACATTCTCTTCTTCTAACTGAAGAACCTAAGGCCTTGAGACACTGTTACTAGTTGGGCAAAGTCCCATAGCAGATGAGTGCTAACAGAGGCACCGGCCTGGCCAGAATCCATGTGTCTGTCCTGTGCCTCAGTCCAGAACCCTTTTCTGTGCATCAGCAGTTTTTAACTTTAATGGCTGTGATCCAAGTCAGTAATACATCTCACCAGGTGAGAGTAATATTTCACATGCAACCTCAGGCCGTGGTTCTACAGCTGGGGTTGCCGGGCATCTACTCTGAAGCTGCTGGAGTATGAGCCTGAAGGGAGGAAGGGGTCACTGAGAAGACTGTGGAAGTGGATATTTACAAGTGGCGATGGGACTTGTGCAGTGTTTTAACAGCCAGTAAAACTGTAACAATGTCCATCCCTGCCACTGCGTTCTCTCTCTGCCAGCCTTCACGCTGTAGGGTGCACTGCTTTTCCCACTTTTGATGGCTCCAAACTTACTCTGCAGAGCCTGTTTCTTTTCCTACTCTTAATAAAACTTTGCTACCATTAAAAACAGAAAATTCCTACATAAAACAATACCTATCAGTTCTGCATTTTATATCATAACCCAACAGACACATATGCACACCTGCTCACACCAGAAACAACTGAAACATTTCACAAAAGGATTCTTACCTTTTGTACTTACATATAACACACTCCAACATCTTCTTTTCATATATATCAATCTACAGCCTTGTATATGCTAAGCACGTCCACTAACACTGAGCTACACCCTCAGCCACTCTTAGGTTTCTCTTTGATCGGTACAGGGGATCAAACTCACAACCATACACCTGCAGGTGCTTATGCTGCTGAGCTAAATCCCCAGCCCTACTCTAGGTTTTTTAAATTTATTTTTATTTTTTTGGTACCGGGGATCAAGCTCACAACCTCATGATTGCTGGGCACGTGCTTACACCTCTGAGCTAAATTCCTGGTCCTCTAGTTTATATTTTTAAATGCATGATCCAGGCCCACCAAAACACTGTGACTAATACAAGGCAACCACATTTGAACATACTTCCCTGAGCTGGGCATGTTGGTAAAGGTCTATAATCCCAGCACTTTGGTAGGCTGAAGCAGGAAGATAACAAGTTTGTGTCCAGCTTGGAATACATAAAGACTTGGTGAAACCCTGTCTCAAAATTAATGTTTTCCTTTTCTTTTTTTTTTTTTTTTTTTTTAAAGGACTGGAGTTATAGTTCAGTTCAAAGCCTCCAGGTTCTGAGCCATGTGTGGTGGTACACACCTGTAATCCCAGCACTTGGGAGGTTGAGGCAGGAGAATCATTGCAAGTTTGAGACCAGCCTGGGCTACAAAGCGAGCTCAAAATCAACGTAAGCTGCATAGTGAGACCCCGTCTCAAAGAGACAGAAAGAAAGAAAAAAAAAAAGGCCCCAGGCTCAACCCCTAAGACCATGAGAGAAAGAAGGAAAGAAGGGAAGGCAAGACAGGACTGCAGGAGCGTCTACAAGAGTCTCACCTTAAATACGGACCAATGAGGGCCTCGTGGTCAAGCAGCTCTTCTGGTGGGGGCACAGTGGGCATAGAGAACTGGTGCTGGACAGGGCTGGGCTGGACCTTCTGGAAGGAGGCTTGGAAGATGAAGATGGGTTTGCCATGCTGCACGGCCTTCACGGAGCGCACAGAGAAGCTTGCCCCTGTTCGTGTCCGCTCCACCTGGTATAGCACTGGCACCTTTGGGTCCCCTGCAGTGGGCACAAGGGACACGATGAGTCCCTCACTAAGCTCCATGAAACCTCTCATCTTCATAATGGCCAGACAGGCACCTCTGCTCTACTTGTCCTCCATTCCACTTCTCTTTTTTCTTTTTTTTTTTTGGTGAGACAGGGTCTCTCTGTGCAGTTCAGGCCGGCCTTGAACTCACTGCAGAGCCTGGGTTGGCCTTGAACTTGTGTCGCTCCCCACCTCAGCCTCCTGAATGCTGGGATTACAGGAGTGCACACCATGCCCAATTTCCTTTTCTTTTTAGAAGCTGCTGACCAAGGTTCACTCAGACCTAAGTCTGCAGGTACAGAGAGAACAGCAGACTTGGTCAAGAAGCTGCTCTTGGTACAGGGGGAGCTCCTCCCGGTCCAGAGTACAGAACAGCAGAGGCTTTGCTGATTCCCTGAAACCAAATCCGGGCTTTGCCCCTCACCTTCTGTGTGATCCTGGGAAAGTCACTTACTCTCTCTGAGCCATGTACTGATTTGTAAAATGGGGATCACTATAGTACTCATACCTACAAGATTTTAATAAGAACTAAAGTGAGTTCCAATATACAATATATTAACCATTGTTAATCTCCTATTATTTTGTTTTGAAATTCTGTATCATCATTTGTATTTTTGTTTTAAAATTTTAAAAAAGTGAGTTCATAGTTGTGAAATGTTTAGGATGATATATGGCACATAGTAAGTGCTCTAAGTGTTTATTAAATACTCCTAGCTGAACACACCTATAATCCCAGCATTCTGGGAGGCTGAGGCAGGAAGATAGCAAGTTTGAGTCCAGCCTGAGTAACTTAACAAGTATTCATCTCAAAATTTAAAAAAAAAAAATTTTTTTTTTGGTCTTTTTGAGACAGGGTCTCACTATGCAGTTCAGGTTGGCCTTGTGTGTATTTTGTAGTCCAGGCTGGTCTCTAATTTGCAAGCCTCCTAAGTGTTGGGATTACAGGAGTGCGCCACCACACCCAGCTCAAAATTTAAAATTAATTAAAATAAATAAATTTTTAAAAGGCTAGGGATGTAGCTTAATGCAAATAAATTTTTTAAAGGCTGGGGATGTAGCTTAATGCAAATGTTCTGGGTTCAATCCCAGTACCACAAAAATAAAAACAAAAATACTCCTGGGCTTTTGTGTTTGTTTGCTTTGGTTTCTTGAGACATGATCTTGCTAGGCAGTTAGCTCTGGGATTACAGGTGTATGACACCCTGCCCAGCATTCCTGGACTTTTGTGTTCCTCTATCTGTGCCTAAAATCTTGTCATGTGTTTCAAAAACTATTCTTCTAGATCATAGGTCAGGAAATCTGGCCCACTGCCTATTTTTATTATTTCTTTTTATTTTTCCTTTTTTTTTTTTTAAACAAGTAAAAGCTATTTATTCAGAGCTTGATATAGCAGCAGAAAGTCAGCTGCCTTCATTTACACAGAGACTTTATGACAGGCATAACTGAAAAGCTTTGTAATAGTAAGAAGGAAGGAACCAACAATAACAAAAAGGAAAATCAGGCCAGACATGGTAATGCAAGCCTATAATCCCAGCACTTAGGAGGCTGAGACAGGAAAACTGCTGTAAGAGGTCAGCCTGGAATACAAGCGACAGCCTGTCTCAAAAACAAGAAAGAAAAAAGAAAACTGGGATAGAGGAATTAGAGGAAGGAAAGGGAAAGGGAAAGGGGATCAAAAGAAAAACCTACAGTATGTACATGTTATCTACTCTCCATAATGACTGTAAACTGCATAGACTGAAAACATGTCTAATAAAAAAATCTAAAGAAAAACAAAGGGAAGGAGCCAGGCATGTGAGGCACCATGTATATAAATAATCCTAGCAGTCACAAGGCTCTGTAGTGCAGGCTGGCCTTGAACTCGCTTACATGGTCCAGGTTGGCCTGAACTCAGGGTAACCCTCCTGACTCAGCCTCCCGAGCGCTGGGGTTACAGGCATGTACCAGCACACCCGGCCCGAGTCTATTGGAGTGAGGCATCTAATGTTATGGAAGTGCTGTGCTCTCTGGAACATTAGATTCTAGGAAAGATATGTTTGCTTACTGGTCTCACAGTAATTGTGTAGAGGTGAGGGAACTGGCACTTCAAAAGAAAACTCAGAATACAGTCATATTCGTTCATTTAAATACTATTGTTGCTTTTATGCACAGAACTTAAAACATTTACTCTTTGGCCCTTTATAGTATGTTTGCTAACCCCTGCTCCAGATTCTCCACACTCTAAGTGTGTGGAGAACTCAGATAACTTCCGCACATTATTTTACCTCTAGAGGAAAACAGAAAACAAAAAACCAACTGATTGCCAGCCTGAACTATGCAACAAGACCCCGTCTCAAACAAAATAAAATGATATGATGTCCAAGAAAGCCCATCCCCAGCAGCTTTTATTTAAAAATATCACTGCAGGGGGTTGGGGATTTAGCTCAGCAGCATAAGCACCTGCCTTGCAAGCAGACAGTCGTGAGTTTGATCCCTGGTACCAATAAATATATATATACATATATATATTTATATATCACTACAACAATATTGGTTATAATTTTTTTTAATAGTAAGGATTGGACCCTGGGCCTTCACACTGAGTTACATCTCCATCCTTTTATTTTGATACTGTTCACGTTTTGTGTTTTCCTCAACCCTTTAATTGAGATAGGATCTCACTATGTTGCTAAGTTGGCCAGGCTGAGCTACAATGTGCAATCCTCCTGCCTCAGCCTCCTGGGGTATGGTTATCATATTGGATGTATCTAATAAAGAAATATCTTAAAACCTGGTAAGAGATTCCCTTTTTTCTTCCCACCAGAATACTCAGGACTAAATTTTATGTATAACTAACCTTAACTCTTTGGTGATTGTTGTATTCATTTCTGCAGTGCTAGAGATTGAAGCCAGCCAGGTATTGTACCACCGAGACATATCCCCAGCCTGCCTTTTTTTATTTTTATTTTTGAGGTTTGTTTGTTTGAGACAAGGTCTCACTTTACAGTTCAGGGTGGTTAATGCCTCAGTGCTTCAGCCTCCCGAATGCAGGGATTACAGGCATGCACCACTACACCCAGCTTCTCCGACCTCTTTTTAATTTTATTTAGAAACAAGGTCTTGCTAAATTGCCTAGAAGGGGCTCAAACTTATCTGAAGCAGCGCTCTAAGAGGTATGAACAGGTGCACAGTAACACACCCAGTCTTCCACTTTTATTTTAAAATCCTACAATAGCTGCCAATTACTTTAAAGTATGCCACACCTTTCCAAGAAGATACAGGGCTTGACATATGCTCAGTGGTCAAGTACTTTCCTTTGTAATAGGCCCTGGATTTCATCCCTAGTCCTGCAAAAAGACAAAGAAGGAGCAGCATGTACAGGCACAAATAATGGATGAGTCATTTTAATATCCTATCTTGGGCATAGCTCATTTTATGCTGTTCTTGGAAGAATTTCCAAGGAAGAGAATCTTTCCCTTGCAACCTAGGATAGGGCCCTTGGCAGCTCTGCCACGGATTGGAATTGTCTCCTAAAAGTGAAGGAAACAGGAGTCTGGTACTTGGAATCATATGTGGAAATCTTGGGTCTGCCTCTCTGAGCACTACGGGAGCTACAACAGAACCTCTCCAGATCCCAGGTTCTGAAGGTAAGAATGGTGTCATAAATAAACACTACAGGAGACCACTGTTTTGAAACACATTCCTACCCTGTGATCCAAGAGAATACAAATCTAAATGGAGTAACTCACGCTGAAGTTCCAAGTCACCAGACCAAAATTCTGCTGTTGATCTGATTTCCGAAGAATCCAGAAGGCAGAGAGCCAAATTTCCCAAATAGACCACTTTCAATTGGCAAAATGAAGTTCTCTCATTCCCCTGACACAAGGAAGTTAATTTGCCAAATGTGAAGGTACAACACCTATAATCCCAGCACTCAGGAAGCTAAGGCAGGAGGACTGCAGTGAGACTGCCTGAATAACAAGACCCTGTCTGAAAAACACAAAAACAAAAAGTTCATTTGATTTTAACCTTGTTATGGCATGTGTCTAGATGTCTCCCCAAAATCTCATGCAGTCACAGTGGGACAGGCTTTTTGGAAACAGCTAGATCTAGAGTTTGTGACTGATTCACGGTCTGATACTCAGATTAAGAGTGTGAGTCCTACACCTGCCCTAGGGTGGGCAGCCTGCATACACTATAAAGGACAGAAAGACATTTGTCACTGTCTCTCTTTCTAGTTGCTTTTGCTGTCTTCTGTTACCATAAATTGTTTCACCTCTGCCATGTCACCATGCCTTACAGCCAGCCAATTATAGACTGAAATCTCCACAAACTGTGAGCTAAACAAACCTTTCTTCCTTTGACTTTGGGCATCAGGTATTTTGTCTCAGCACCTACAAAAGTAGTAAAACAAACCTGCACATTATTTCTCTACTGTTCTGTCTCCTTGCCCCCACTTTAGAAGAAAACTAACTTCTTTCTTCACTGCTAAGGATCAAGCTAGTGCCTCCTACACTCTGGCCAAGCATTCTACCACTAAGCTACTCTCCAGCCCCAAGGAAAATAACTCTTAAATGACCAATCCATTGTTTGTTCTTGTAACTGTTTAGTTTCAGCCTTTGTTGGTCTAGAAAACCAACCTCTCTGCTCAACTTGCAGAATATTTATTCTGTTTTATGAAACAAAGCTTTAGGGCTAGGAATTTAGCTCAGCGGCATAAGCACCTGCCTTGCAAGCAGGCAGTCATGAGTTCAATCCAGTACCGATTAAAAAAAAAAGTTAAAAAAAAGGAAAGCACTGCTGATTATAGAATAAAAGAAGCTGCCCAGCATGGTGGCATATGCCTAGAATTCCAGCACTTGAGAGGTTGAAGCAGGAGGATCACTACAAGTTGGAGGCCAGCCTGGGCTACACAATGAATTCAAGGCCAGTCTATACTACACAGTGAAACCCAATCTCAAAAAATAAAAACACAACAAAAACAAAAAAGCCAAAAGTTGGGCATGGCGACTCACACCTGTACTTATTCACTCAACACTCAGACAGCTGAGTTGGGTGAAGATCAAGTGAGCCCAGCAGTTCATGACCAGCTTGGGCAACTCAGCAAGACAGCAAGACTCCATCTCAAAAAGAACACAAAGAAGGAAAGAGAGAGACAGAGACAGAGAGACAGACAGACAGCAGAGACAGAGAGACAGAGACAGACAGAGAGAAAAGAAGGGAGGGGAGGGGAGGGAAAAGGAGGGGAGAGGAGGGGGTGGGAGGAGAGGAGAATGGAAGAGAAGGTAGGCAGGCCTTCACTTTGGCAGCACAAATACTAAAATTGGAAGGGAGGAAGGGAAAGGAAAGAGTGGGGTGTAACTCAGTAGTGGAACAAGTTAGGCTCTAGGTTTGATTCTCAATACCACAAACAAATTAATAAATCCAATTCCTAGCATATGCAAGGCCTTGAGTTCAATCTCTAGCATGAGAAAATGAAAAAATCTTGGTAACAGCTTAACAGTGTCTATCAATTCAAACTCAGAAACTGTCAAAGAACTGTACAAATATAAAGAATTGTAACTTGGGGGCTGGGGATTTAGCTAAGCGGTATAAGCGCCTGCTTGGCTAGAGTAAAGTTGTGAGTTCGATCCCTGATCCTCCCCGCAAAAAATGGTAATTTGGGAGACATAGATTTAGATATGGGAATTTATATACATGCGTAAGGGGCCGGGGCATAAGTGGCATAAGCTCAGTGGCATAAGTGCCCACTTGGCCTACACAAGGTCATTAGTTTGATCCCCAGTACCAAAAAAAAAAAAAAAAAGTGTTTATATACATGAGTAGTGTTAATATATTCATGAGGTATGATGCCTGTAATACCAGCACTCAGGAGGCTGAGGCAGAAGGATTCCAAGTTTGAAACAAGACTAAACTACACAGCAATATGCCTCAATAAACAAATATAAAAGCCAATTAAGATCTTTAGCTGGACGTGGTGGTTCCTGCTTATAATCCCAGCACTCTGGGAGGTTGAGGCAGGAGAATCACAAGTTTGAGCCCAACCAGGGCAATTTAGCAAGATCTTGTCTTAAACAAAAGACTTGGGAATGTAGCTTAACATGAAGGCCCTAAAATTCAATTTTCTTTCTTTCTTTCTTTTTTTTTTTTTTTAAATCTTTTTGAGACAGGGTCTCGCTATGCAGTTCAGGCTGGCCTTGAGCTCACTTTGTAGCCCAGGCTGGTCTTGAATTCGCAAAGATCCTCCTGCCTTAGCCTCCCGAGTGCTGGGATTACAGGCGTGAGCTAACATGCCGGCTCTAAAATTCAATCTTAATATGGGCATTGGGGTTAGGGAGGAGATTTCTTTTTGGTACCAGGGATCGAACCCAGGACCTCACATTTGCCAGGCTGAGCTAAAGCCATGGTCCCAGGAGAACCTTTAAACTGGTCCAATGTGGCAGCATATAATCTGTAATCACAGCACTAGGAGAAGTTGAGGCAAAATGATTGCAATCTCAAGCCCAGCCTAGGCAATTTAGAAAGAAAAGCAGGGGCTGGGGATTTAGCTCAGCGACATAAGCGCCTGCCTTGCAAGCAGGCAGTCATGAGTTTAATCCCTGGTACCGATAAAAACGAAAAAAGACCAAGACCAAAAAAAGAAAGAAAAGCTATCTCAAAATAAAATAAATAAATAAAGGAACTGGGATATAACTCTGTACAATAATCCTGGGTTCAATCCCCGTACCACACACATACCAAAAAAAAAAAAAAACCCTTTAAATTATTACAATTTGTCTTCTTTTGTAGTGTTGAGGACTCAAACTTGTTAGGCAAGTGCTCTTCACTGAGCTACATCCCCACCTTCTTCTGACTTTACTTATGAGGACTAAACAAGATAAGTAAATGGCTGTGCTCTGTATCATGCAAATTTTAATTACTTCTAAAGTTCCTCATTTAAAAAATAAGGCAGGGAGGGGCTGGGGATTTAGCTGCAGGGCTCCAGTGCAGCCTGAGGTGGCCTGAGGTAGTGAGTTTACCCCTACCAACAAAATAAAACAATACAATGAAAACATTTTCATTATGGACAGTAGGACAATGCGGTATGCACCGGACAACTAACACTTCAAGATGCTAAACACAAACTCTTCCAGGAACACAAACACCCTCTGGGCTCTGTTGCCTTTCTCAACCAAGAAGACCCTGCCAATGGTCAGAAAACCAATGGACTCCAAAAATTAAAAGGGAAGTGCTTTATCAGCTGAGCCCAGCGGCTATACCGTCCCAGAAAGCAGCCAGGGAAGTATGCCCGAACCAGGGGCTCCAGGGAGCTATAAAGCAGCAAACCAGAGGGGAGGGGTCAGAATCTTAGGATCAGTTTGTTTCCATAAAAGGTAATTTAGTTTAGTTTTACAGGAACCAGGGAGGCAGGGAGGGGATTATATGGTGGGTGAGTTGCAAGATTGCAATTTAAATGGCTATGACACAAGTTTTACAGAAAGGGAACAAGTTATAAAAGCACATTAAGTAATAATGTACTACTGTAAATGTAAAACATTTTGGGTTTTCAAGCTTATAACAGTCAACCTCAGACCCACACCCATGCTCTTCCAGAAAAACCAGAGAACCCTCTCACGACAGCCCTGCTGTCCCTCACATGTGAGTGAACATCCTTCCTCCTTTATTTGATTTGTGGTAAATTCTTTTTTTTTTTTTGGTACTGTCAATTGAATTCACAACCTCGTGTTTGCTAGGCAGGGCGCTGAGCCAAACCCCTGGCCTTGGTAAACTCTCTTACCACCCACATCACCAGCCATCCACATAGCATGGCAGATAGTTATCGATTATGGAAAACCAACCACATACAGGCCCGGCACTGATCCTTCTTCAGCCGCAAACACACAGAGAATCTTTCTTCACAGGATGAAAAGATTCACAGGGGTGAGTCACCCCCTGCCCCCACAAAACAAAATGGCTAGGGGTCTCCATGGGCTGGAGCAGTGATGGTGAACCTTATGCACGAACTATAGGTTCACGGCCACTGGGCTAGAAGGATTAGAAGTCTAGCACTTCTGGAGTTTACAACCAAATTGAAAAACTAAAACCCATGTAACTTATTTACTCCTATCTAACATAAAGATAACTGGGCAGGAAGTATTTATACAGCTGTTGTACCCTAGTTCTAACCAATGCGCCCCCTTCCTATTCTGTATGTACTGTTTCAATAGAGATTAAAATTCCATCTCCAGTAAAGACTTAAGTTTCAGCTCCTTGTAAATCCCCCTCCCTTCCTATCTTTCTAGGTTAAGTTTCTATTTCCTGAGAAAGCTGTAAAAGCCTTAGGTATCAGTTTCCTATAACCCCCTTCCCTACCCCTCATCCTGCTATCTGTAATAAAATGTGCTGTTCTTTAAGAAATGCTTAACTTCAAGGAAATTACAAGAAGTTCTATAAAGCCCAGATGCTACCTAACTGTGTCAGCGATTACAACATTCCTGTGGTTTCGGCTTTAAAACCCAACCTTTCTAGCTGTAAGGCGAGCAGTCTCCAAATTGGCTCCTGGAGACTGTGATGCCAGGCCTGGCCTAAAATAAAGCCTTTACTCCCCAAATTTTAATTTCTTGCTTCCTTGGGTTTTATTCCGGAGTCCGAGCTATCACACAGCAACTTGGGGGGACTAGTAACAACAACAAAAAAAAAGAGCCAGGGATATAATTTAGCAGCACAGTACACCCTGGCAAGTGTAAGGTCCTGAGTTCGATACCCAGTACCAAAAAAGTTAAAACAAAAACAAAAACAAAAACAAATATATATATATATATATATATATATATATATATATACATGGCCTTTTTATTTGACCACAAAGCTACAAGCACTGTAAACACTTTACAGAAATCATTCCTCTAAAATATCTCTGGTCCCACTCTTCCCCATTTCAAAGCTAGAATAAACCAAACCAATAAACCACACTTAGGCTAAGCATGATGGTGCACTCCTGTAATCCCAACACTCTGGAGGCTGAGGCAGGAAAACTGCTTCAAGTTTGAGGCCACCCTGGGCTACATAGTGAATTTAGGACTAACCTGAACTACATAGCAAGATTCTACCTCAAAAATAAATAATACGATAAAATAAAGTAAACCACGCCTCATGATAGGGAGGAAAGCTCATTCAAGGTCACAGTAATGCACAGCTGGAACTGGGATCTGGATCTCTTGATCTGCAAACTAGTGCTTCCTCTTCTCAACCTATCCTGCCCACTTCAAAGGTCCTAGCAGAGGCTACTTCACTGCTACAAGGTTCCGTCAGTCTCAGCACCAGGAAGTATGTAAAGAATGAAGAACAAAAGATCCACTGGGAACAGTTAAGAACAAAATCCCATGTCATTTCAAGCCAAAGGACACTGCCCAGTGAGTCTCAGAGGTTGTCTAAGGTTCCTTGTTGGCCCCAGACCTCATTCCTCAGAGGTATCTCTTAATTCATTTTCTCTCTCTCTCCCCCTCCTCCCTCTCCTTTTCAGATTCTCTTCCTCTCTCATTCTTTTTCTTCAGTCAGCCCCCAAACTCAGGAAGAAGTGGCTGCTAGGCCACCAGTACTGGATTGGAAGCAAGGAGCCAGGGTGTCAAGAGTTTACCTGCCCGAACAAAGTAGCAGTGTAGGGAGTGCACATTGACATCTTCACTCACAGACTTGGCTGCAGCCACCAGGGCCTGGCCCACGATCTGACCCCCAAAGAGCCGCTGGGTGGTAGGTACCCAGTAATGCCTGCCTCTGTAGGGAGAAAAGGAAAGTGGGAAAGGCTTGAGGTCTACTCTAAACTCCAAAAGCCTCAATGAGCCTCCAGCGCAGAATTTCTTTTTTTTTTTTTTTTTTTTGTCTTTTTCGTTTTTATCGGTACCAGGGATCTAACTCATGACTGCCTGCTTGTAAGGCAGGCGCTTATGCCGCTGAGCTAAATCCCCAGCCCCCTCCACTGCAGAATTTTTAAACCTAACTGGGGTTCAGGCTCCTTTTGAAAATCTGGTGAAAGCCATGGATTCATGTACATGTACCTACTCCCCATGATGAATATATTCATCATATGTCACAAACATGTACTAATAAAAATCTAAAGACTCTTTTCTCAGGCAAATGTCTGTATCACTCTGCATAAAATTTTACAGTCCTTGTGACCAACTAATCTTTCTATGGACTTCAGTTCAGAATAATAAAGAGAACGGAAATCAGAAATCAAAAGTGAGAGCTGGGATTGGCGGCACACGTTTTGTTATCCCAGCATTTGGGAAGTTGAGGCAGGAGGTTTGCTACCAGTTCAAGGCAAGCCTAGACTATCTAGCAAGACTGTCTCAAAAAAAAGAAAAAGACACAGGGATCAAAAGTGACTTGAAGGGCCGGGGACTTAGCTCAGTGGTGTTAGCGCCTGCCTGGTAAGCGCAAGGTTGTGAGTTTGATCCTCAGTACCACATACACACACAAATAAATAAAAATCAAAATGGACCCCTCTCCCTTAAAAAAAAAAAAAGTGACTTGAACAGCCATGGTATGGTAGTACCTTCTGTAATCCCAGGACTCTGGGCAGCTGAGCTAGGAAGACCAGCCTGGGTAATTTAGTAACTCAGGAAGCCCCTATTTCAAAATTTAAATTTTTTTTTTTTTTATTGAACTCTTGACCTAGCGTTTGCCAGTCAGGTGCCTATGCCACTGAGCTAAATCTCCAGCCCCTTACTTTAAAAAAAAAAAAAAAGAGGTGAAAGTTCAATTCCTAGTATATTTAAAAAAGAAAAGAAGAAAATCACTTATGCAAGCTTATTCAGCTTAAACATCCTGGACAGTATCTAGCCCTTTGGATCTCAAGTCCAGTGTTCAGACATCAAGTCTAACTCCCTCAGGCCGTGATATTTTGTACAGATGAAGAAATTTTGACATGGCCGGGCTGGGGATTTAGCTCAGGGGCATAAGCACCTGCCTTGCAAGCAGGCGGTCGGGAGTTCGATCCCCGGTACCAATAAAAATGAAAAAGACCAAAAAAAAAATTGAAAAAATTTTGACATGGCCATGAGAGGTCAACATTTGCCCAGGGCTGTTGTACTGTGGTAACTAAAGCCTTCCATTGCTGGGAGTTTATTATTTTCCCTAATAGTCCACTGCAAATAGCAACACTCCCTGACAAGCTACTTATAATTACTTAAATGGAAGGAAGAGCAATCAAAGTAGGTCAGCTTCCAATAAAGGCAGGAGAAGCTGTGGAGGTCAAAGTTGTGAAGAAGCCCTCTATAACTTCAGCATTGCTGGGAAGGCCCAAGCAATGAGCTACCAGGTCTCACCAAACTGTGCTGGGGATGAGGTACCTGACAGAAAAAGACAGTGAATATTTCTCAAGGAGCCGAGTATAAGTTTTAAACCTGATCAGCTTGGGCAAATCACTGCTGTCCCTGGGTTGACTTCCTAGGCAGGCTCCCGAAGAAGGTATCTCAGGTCACATTTTTTTTTTGCCCTGATCGCCAGGACCTCCTACGGGCCAGCGAGGGCAGCTGTCAGGGAGAAGTTCTCTCCTAAGCGCAGCAGAGGTTGCATCCCGCACAGCGCTCATCCAATTCCCAGAGCTGGGGGCCACAGGTGGCGGCAACCAAGAGCCGGAGTCTCTGTCCTAAGTGAGGGGTGCGGACCAGGAGCGGCCGGCTACCTGAAAAGATCCTCGTCCAGCGGCTCGAGGTTGAGCACACTGGTGACCAGAACGCTACGGAGGTCCCGGGAGGAATCGTCGCTGTCGCTGTCGCTGTCGCCGCCGCCCTTTTTATCCTCCGGAGCCTTAAGGATCGACATCTTGCTCACTCCGTCCTGGTTCCCTGGCAGAACATGCGGATACCTACACAGGACGCCGGCACTTCCGGGAGCTTGCTTCAGTAACCGGAAGTCTGTTGAGGAACCCTGAGTAGTTTGAGGGTTGTGATTGGTCAGCACTCCTATCCATTCCCAAATGGGTGTGGCTCTCTTTCTTCAGCGATTGGAATAAATAAATGTCAATCTGAGAGTCCCGTGTGTCATTGGATATGAAGGTAGGAGGAGGTGGAACCTCGAGTCTCTATAATAAGGACTGTCACTTCCTCTCTGTCACCTAGCAGAGTCCTCCAGTTGCTTATAACCCGGTGGTACCTGGGGCTTCTTATGAGCTCTTTAATAGGTCATCTAATTGAGGCTGCGCCTTAAGGCGTCCTGGTCCCATGTCACGCTAAACAGTGTGACCTCTGACCCCTAGTGTGATCTTGGGGCCAACCCCTGGCGTGCGCTGTCGGGGCCGCCATGGAGCTGGGCAGCTGCTTCAAGACCTATGAAGACTTCAAGGAGTGCTTTAGCGCCTACAAAAAGGAGAACAGATGCTCCTTCATTCTCAGGGACTGCGTCTCCGTCCGCTTCCACAACCTCAACCACGGCACTTCCATCCGCGAGGACGTCCTGTAAGGGCGGGGCGCGGAATGAGGGTGGGGTGGGAGGTTGGCCCCGAGCAAGGCTGCAGGAGGGAATGCTTTGGCGCCCCGCTCGCATGGCCATTCATTCTGCGGGCACTCGTCGAGCGTTGAGAGGAAATGCCATGGCTCTTTGGCCGCCGACTCCACTTTCACGCCTTCGTTCCCAAGCTTTTCTGAAATTTATAGTAACGGCACAGTATCCCTCGACCCCCTTTTTAAGCATCTGCAGTACTCCAGGCACGAAATGTGACCTTGGAAAACAGATAAAAACGCTTTGGCGTTATTTCCTTCTTTAGTCCCGTCTTTAGAAAGTGTAACGTGATTGTTGTATAGTTTATTCCTTCATTGATTCGTTTTGCAAGTAGTTCTTGAGCTTCTGATAATTAGTTAATAATCATTTTTGAAGCAAGTTACACTTTCCAGGCAGCATTTTTTATGTTATTCATGCTTTACTCTGCAGGGATGTTTTCAGAATTATAGTTAAGTTTTATTTTTCTATTTGGCTGATGCGACTGCCTTAGGGTCCAAGGTGTGTTGAAAGCTCAGATGCCTTCTGGATGTAGGTGAAACAGCCCAGTGTTAGAAGGTTTCACTCCTAAGAAATAGAGTGAAGCTGTAATGGAGCAGGCTGTTAATTCCAGATATCTGGGAGACTGAAGCAGGAGGATCACCATGAGTTCGAGATCAGTGTGGGCTATATAGCGAGATCCTGTTTTTAAAAATAAAATAGAATTTTAAAAGGGCTAGAGGGCTGGGGATTTAGCTCAGCAGCATAAGCTGCCTGGCAAGCGCGAGGCTGTGAGTTCAAACCCAGGTACCAAAAAAGGGGGGGGGGGTTGTTGGGGACGTAGCTCGGCGGTAGAGTCCTTGCCTAGCATGTTTGAAGCCCTGGGTTCAGTCTCTAGTACTACAAAAATTAAAAAGGACGAGAAGAAGGGGTTGGGGATTTAGCTCAGCGGCATAAGCGCCTGCCTTGCAAGCGAGCAGTGGTGAGTTCGATCCCCAGTACCGATAAAAAGGAAAAAGACAAAAAAAAAAAAAAAAGGACGAGAAGAAGAAAAAAATGATTAAACAATCAACACCACCTGGACTTTGTGCCAGGCAAGGAACATCAATAGATTAAAATGAAAAGCAAGCCCCATCTATCTAACCCAGCTGATGGCTGCCATGTGAAAATGAGGATGTGCTGTTGCCAGGTTTTCCTTGTCAGAAATCCAGACTGCATGTAAATTTGTCCTTTTTTGGGGGGGAGGGGCAGGGTCTCCCTGTGTAGTGCAAGCTGGCTCAAACTCAGAGATCCTCCTATCTCAGCCTCCCAAATGGTGGGATTACAGGCGTGCATCACGTCACATGGCATGTCCACTTTTTAGAAACTGAAAATCGATTGAAATGCTTTATAAATGAGAATCTGTTGACAATAGTAGACAAAACAGTGCTGAAGCCATAATTATAATGTATGATAGAAGGTGCTGGGTATGGTACTTTAAAGGACAGTCAGATGGTACTGCAGAGTTGGCATTAAGTGGCAAAAAATAAAATCAGATTGACTCAGAAAATTCTTAAAAACTTTATTGTGAGCCAGAGACGGTGGCACACACCTGTAATCCAGCCACCTATGAGGATGAGGCAAGAGAATTATTGTGAGCCTAGACAATTTAGTGAGATCCTGTCTCAAAACATAAAAAGCTGGTGGTACATGCTTGTGATCCCAGCATGTAGGAGGCTGAATCAGGAGGATTCCAAGGCAATTTTCTTTTTCTTTGCTTTTTTTTTTTCTGAGACAGGGTCTCATGTAGTTTAGGTTTAAGATGGCCTTGAACTATGTATCCCAGTCTTGAACTCATGGCAATCCTCCTCTTTCAGCCTCCCAAATTTTTGTATATAGGCATGTGCCACTGAGCCCAGCATGCTGGATAACGAATTGACCTAGCAAAACCTGTCTCAAAATTAAAATTTTTGTTGAGATAAGGTCTCACCGTACAATCCAGGCTAACCTTGAATTCCTGTGTCAGCCTTCTGAGTGCTAGGATTACAGACCATTGCACCAGACTCAAAATTAAAAATTCAAAAAGGGCTTTGAATGTAGCTTAATATAAAGGCTTTGGATTGAAGGCTCACAGAAATTAAGTAAAATAAATAAGAAAGGGCTAGGATATTAGCTCAGTGGTAGAACATCCCTGGATTTCAACCCTAAAACCACACACACAATAAAGGTTATTATGGAAAGAATTCTTCAGTACTTTAGACAAACATAGCAAAAAAAAAAAAAAAACTCTTCTTGACAGTTACAGCACAGTTTTGTTTTGCTTTGAGTTTTGAGACAGGGTTTCACCATGCAGTTTAGGCTGGCTCTGAACTCACTATGTAGCGCAGGCTGGCCTCAAGCTCATAGTAATCTCCTGCCTCAGCCTCCTGAGTGCCTGCATTACAGGTGTGCACCACCACGCCTGCTGTACAGCACAGTTCATAAAACAGAAGAGGAAGTGTTTTAGCCTTTGTCTTGATTGGCTGTTACATATTGGCAATCTCTTTTTAGTAGTAAGTAAAGCTGTTTAAGCTGTTTTACCCGTAGATGGTTCTCTCAATTTGGTGCTGACAAAGACTTAAAGTTTACATCTGTGTTTTATGATTATAGCTAGCACTTCCACGAACTCAGGATACCTATGTTTTTGGCTATGTGGCTACAGTGGCTGGCTTTGGACAACTGTGATCATGTAGGAATAAAATAAACTGTTTCCCCTGTCCACAGCAAGGAATGCAGCAGTAGACAGCGGCAGGGTGTCCCCTAACTCAGTGCAGCTTGGACACTGTCTACCTAGAAGTAGGGGTGTCAGACCTCACCAGTTGAGAGCCCCATGCCGCAGCATTATCTCCTTACTTCATATGCCAGTCGCCAAGTCTGGTGGAAAGTTGGAGTTCCCACTGTCCCCACCTTGAGCTCAATTAATTTGCTAGCATAGACTCACAAAACCTAGGGAAACACTTACGTTCCAGCTTAATTTATTTTTGTTTTTTTGAGACAGGGTCTCTGTGCAGTTCAGGCTGGCCTTGAGCTCACTTTGTAGCCTAGGCTGGTCTCGAACTCGCAAGGATCCCCCTGCCTCAGCCTCCCAAGTGCTGGGATTACAGGCGTGAGCCACTATGCCCAGCTTATTTTTGTTTTTCAAGATAGGGTAACCAACTTTCTGAGTGGTCCAAGCTAACCAACCTTGACTTTGTTATGTGGCCCGGGCTGGCCTCAGACTTGAAATCTTTCTGCCTCAGCCCCCAAGTGCTCATATTACAGGTGTGCACCAACACAGAGGGTTACCAGTCGACTTGATTTGTTTTCAATTTCTCTGTTCCGGTTTTTGAGACAGCTTTACTCTGTAGTTCAAGTTGGCTTTGAACTCACTGTATAGCCCAGACTGGCCTCAAATTTCAGGCCATCAATCCTCATGTCTCAGCCTCCCAAATGCTGGGATTACAGGCATGTGCCACCGTCCCCAGTTCAGCAGTCTTTATCTATTTATACACCTGTTTATCTATTTACTTACGTATTTAGCAAAAAAGTCTGGCCATATACAGGCTGGTCTTGAACTTATGTAGCTCATACAGGCCTCCAACTCAAGGCCATCCCCCTACCACAGCTTCTGAGTGCTGGATTATAGATGTGTGCTCTCACATGGGGTTTACCAGTTTATTTTAAAGAATGCTGCAGAAGATACAAAGATAAATAGGGCAAAGTATGGGAGAAAGGCCTCCGAGCTTCCATGTCTTCAGGACATATCAATACCCAGTCCTCCCATCTGTATTCAGCCAAATCTTGTCTTTTGGGGGTAGTGGTACTTGTTTTGAGGGTTAAGACAGAGTCTTATTGTATATTCAGCCTGGCCTTGAACTCACTCTGTAGCCTAGGCTCTCCTCACTTGGAGAGACCCTTGACTTAACCTCCCAAGTGTTGGCATTACAGCCATGTGTCACTCACCATGCCTTTTAGGTTTTTATGGAGGCTTTACTACATATGCATGATTGATTATTGACCACTGACAGTCATCAGTTTAATTTGTAGCCCCTCTTTCCTAGAGGTTGGGATTGCAATGACTATCCCACCCTTTAATCTGGTTTTGTTTTTTTTTCAGTGACCATCTGCTACCAGATCCTTAATCACAATATTGCAGGTATATCTAAAACTGTGGCCTCCATTTGCAATTCTCTTTAATATTGCTAGCAACTTGAGCAGTCTTTTTTTTTTTTTTTTTTTTTTTTTTAATGTTTTGAGACATGGTCTTGCTATGTAGTTCAGGCTGGCCTTGAACTCACAGCAGTCCTCCTACCTCAGCCTCCCAAATGCTGGGATTACAGGCATGTGCCACCATTGACACCCCCCACCCCCAGCTATAACACTTTTTCTGGAACCAGGTAGTTAGCAAGAAATTTAACAGTCATTGTCTCATTTATTCTTTACCATATATTTTAACCTAGAATTTTAGATAATGGAGTTTTCATTACTCGTGTATCCATGATTACATTGCTGTGTAAGAAAGAAAAAGTCATGAAATGAAAATGGTGTTGATAGCCAAGAATAGTGGCACATGCCTATAATCTCAGCCCTTGGGAAGCTGAGGCAGGAGGATCACTACAAGTTCAAGGCCAGCCTGGGCTATACAGTAAGTTCAGGACCAACCTGTACTACATAGTGAGACCCTGCCTCAGAAAACCAAAAAGAGACAGACAGACAGACAGAGAAAGGAAGGAAAGAAAATGGTGCCAATAAACTAATGACTCATTAGTTGCCACATAACCTTTTTTCCTGCTTTCCCTGCTATCCCATTTTTATTTATTTTCTTTTGGGGGGGGGGGGTACCAGAGATGGAACTCATGACCCTGCGCCTGCAAGGCAGGTACTTATGCCACTGAATTAAACCCCTGGCCCTAATCCCATCATTTTAACAGTATCTGACGATGAAAAGATGTAAACATCAGGATAACACAAAGCAAAGAAAACC